TATTATATGACGAAGAAGGCTGGGGGTCACGGAATCTGGCAATGGGGTGAAGTATATAACAATAAATCATCATTGAATACCAGGAATAACCATGCAGGACATTTCCATAACCTGCCATCCTGCAAACACCTTGGACTACAGGACTCATTGTCCCCTACCAGCATGGCCAAGGTCATGAGGCTCTCCCTGAATGTTACAGAGTTCAGACTTTGAGCTACGAAGCATGGAGAAAAAATATGGTTGGAGTTTCACGGCTCACGTGCAGGAAATGCCGCATCTAAAGGATCGGATACCTTTTCACACTATCCCCCAGACTTGACTCATTTCCACAAGGCAGGCTGAGCAATGTGGGAGTTGGGCCATTCTTTTCTCGGGGAAAAACTCCTGAGAAGTTATTTACAAACGTCCGTTTTTGGTTCTACCTGCGGTGCGTTCATCAGATCTTTACTGTCTGAATTCCTGGGGCTGCCTTTGCCCCCCAGCCCAGCCCAGAACTGCCGAACTGCGGAAGGATAAAATGATTAAACCCGCAGGAAACAATCTCATTAATTACATTCAGTTCACTGAATGGTAATGAAGCTTACATTTAAAAGGGGGTTGGTCTTCCACCAGGTCTCCCTCTGCCTTGTAAAAATGGGTTGTCCTGTTAAATGCCACAGTTGCTGGAAAAATGCCAACCAGCCCTCCGACGTGGAGGCTGCGTTCTCTGCTAACTACCGAAGCTTAAATGCGCCGCTGACAACCCTGTGCCAACTTTCTAGCTCAAAGCAAACAATGTGTTGTAAATCTCCCCAACATGGAAGGAGCAAATACCTTCTTTATGACCGTTGGCTGAAATAACAGAGAAGCAAGAAGGAATAACTTAGTCACTTTTTACAATTAAATAAATGAGGGTGCTCCCTCCCTGAACCAAAATCCCTTCTCTTGCCTGAAGAGATGAGGATTAACCCATGGTTGAGGATTAATATGTTTACAGTTTAGTGGGTACATGAGTGTTCTGTCTGCAAGTTGCATGAACTGGTCCATTAATAAAGAGTATAGTTTATTTGTCAGAACGTGCCATGTCTGGTGAATCCAGCCCTTGCATTTCACTCAACCCTGAGACGAATGTGTTGTCTGAACCACCCATTTAGTGAAGAGGAGGCCAAGGGATAAGGGTAAATGTTGCTTCTTTGGGTATATAATCCTCTCTCCAGCCATCTCCAGCCTCCTTGGCTTTCTCTCACCCCCATTCAATTCCAAAGGAAGACCTCGGGAGGGTCCTCTGCCTGGGGGCTTTTCCAAATGGGGAAGTGGGGGCAGCCAGGGAGGCCGCAGAAGGACAGAGAGATGGGAACACACAATCCTGCCATCTCCAGCCTCCTTGGCTTCTCACCTTTCCATTCAATCCCAAGGGGAGATTTCAGGGGGCAGCTCTGCCTCGGGGGCTTTTTCAGATATGGAAGGGGTGGCAGCCAGAGAGGCTGCAGAGGGAGAGAGAGAAGGAGAACAGGCAATCCTCTCTCCAGCCATCTGCAGCCTCCCTGGCTTCTTAATCTCAAGGGGAGATACAAGGGGAGAGGCTTATTCAGAGGGGAGAGTGGGAGCAGCCAAGAATACTGCAGAGTGAGAGACGGGAAACAGACAATCCCCTCTCCAGCATCTGCAGACTCCCTGGCTTCCCACCCAAGGGGAGACCTGCAGAAGGATCTCTTTCACATTGGGAAGGGTGAGCAGCCAGGGAGGCTGGCAAGAGATAGAGAGACAGAGAGGACTGTCTGGTCCCCATCTCTCTATCTCTCGCCAACCTTCCTGGCTGCTCACCCTTCCCAATCCGAAAGAGATTCTTCTGCAGGTCTCCCCTTGCAACAGCATTACAATCACTCTGTGAACAGCTGTGAATACGCTGCTACCCCTGGTTTTGTCCCTGGGCTGGAAACCAGGGACCTGACCAGCAACTTTGCTAACCCATCACTGCCCGCTGCTTAGCACCTCGACCTTAGATCTACTCCTGGTTCGATCCAGCTTTGGAATTTCTCCAAATCGGGTTTCCCATAGCGCAGAGACCTCAGTCAAGGGAGTCCAACTCTTTTGTGGGTGAACCGCCTTGGCACCCTTCCAGCGAGCAGATGTTGCCCAGTCCACCACTGGCTGCACAGACTGGAGGAGATAGGAGCTGGCTAGATTCCCACAACAATTCCACGCTGAATAAATAAACCCTATGACGGCGTAACGTCCTTGGCTGAATTAGTGCAAACAGCAGACCAGGCTTTGTTTGTAGGGTGAAGAGCGCCAGGTTGAAAAAAACACAGTGCTTTGTTAACCTGGATTGTATGTTTTGTGAACCCGACACCCGTGACATTTGGCACTTTAGACTCCCTTCATTTTCCAGATCAATCTTGTCATCACCGGCCTCACTCAGGAAAAGTTTAGATTTGCAAGTTTCAAATTGCGCAATGCAGGAAGTGTTTACATCTGGGGCCTCTGGTGTTTTCTGCCCTGGGCTGAATCAAAAAATTCACGCAAACTGAACAAATGTGGGAAATCTTACTGATTAATCGGCAGGAGGAAGATTGTAAAACTCATCACATCCTTTTCAGATGAAACGTACCCTCGTTTCCTGCTGTTTTTTTAAAAGGAGGCCTCCCTTTTAGGAGAAATCAGTGTTTATTAGGCAATAAGATAAATTCCACGTTTGGCACGCGTGTTATGCCATTTATGTTTCCTGCAGAAGAAAGTCATCCTTTTCAACTCCTTCTGCAATTTTCTTGACCACACTAAACTCTTTTTCTTCCCTTCCCTCTTTCCTTCTTGACAACAAGGATCTCAGAATTCAAGGGAAACGTATGAGACAAACTGGCATATTCAAAGCCCAATTTAGGATACCGAGTTTTAAAAAAAGAAAAAAATCCATGCTCAAAAGTGATGAGCGCCTATTTCACACAATGTGCTAAGCAGGGATTTAACTGATGATGGTTTATTGGATAAATCGTAATGGGCTGCTAGGCCATAAGCTAGGAATGGGCAAAGGTTGGGCAATTTGAGATGAGGATTTGAACTTACTTTAAAACAAAGCTTTAAATACAATACAGTTTTTTAAAAAGCTTGAAGCTGACCCTTTAGTGTTTGCTTTGAAAGGATGGGACACGGTTCTTCTGAGCCTTGGAAATCATGATAGAAGGTTCTGGAGACCTTCAAAAAAGATTTGGGGGCCACCCGCAGCCCTTAGGGGTCTCCTGCCTGCCTTGAACCACAACAGACAAGCCACAACTGAGCCACAGCCTAGACAAACCACATTTGGGCTTAGCGCAAAGGGCAGAGTCTTGCTAGAAGATCAAAACCGGGCAGACAGAACTGGCTGGCCATTTCATCCTTGGTTAATTTGATGGGGGAGGTGGGGAGGTGAGAAGGTCCTTGCCAAATGGAAAAACAGATCCATGGCATGGTAGAGACATGTTAGGAGAACATGAGAGGAGGAGAACATGCAAGATTCCATCACTATAGCTATTCTAATCAAAGTAGTTGTAGGCCCACATGGTGTCCGTTTCTTGCTCTGGTCCACCTTGCAGGGCTGACCATGACTGGCGCCCAAGATGACTTACCTGAGACACCTTTGCACATCGGGGTCTTCTCTGTAGAACTCCAGGCCACCATGTTTCAGAGCGTCCTCAGGATTGGCAAATGCCTGGAAGAGACCAGAAAGAGAATACAGGGAACATCCAAGGAGAAGTCCACCTCCCATCCATAGGGTGACCATGATGGTGGTGGTGGTGGTGGTGAATCAGGACCCAGCCAGGAGATCTCCATGCGTGTCTTCTCTGAGTGGCCTCTGTCCATCTAGTACACATCTTGGATGTCTTATGGAGTCTAAACATCCTCATTAACACCTGCTTGAGGAAGTGGCTGGGGTGGGTGGGACATTTTTGGCCGGAGCAAACATGCTGATTGAGATATGAAGCAGACAGAAGAATTTTGGGCCCATTCCAATGGTGGGGAGGAGGAGGAAGGGAGGAGCCTGGCACATTACTTCATTCTCCTCCTTGGAAAGTGATCTCCCTGCAGAGAGAAAGCTAGGGTGTCACATGTGTACTCAAAGACACACTATTCATCAATTTCTATGCTTTAGCGTTAAGTCGGGTATTTCATTGCAAGCTAAGTATGCAATTACAAACAGAGGCTGTGCATTTTGTTTTATCGGGGGGAGCCAACACAGCACGGGGAGCTATCATTTCAAAAATAATACATTTAATACGGGGAGTCTCCCCCCCCCCCAGCAATGCTTTGCAAAAAACCAAAATATTTTGCCCACCTTGTGCCTAGTTTCAGAACTCACGGCGGGCTATTTTAGAAAGCTCAGATCAGATTGGACGCCGTTTCCTCTGGCAGGCTAGATGACAAGCCCCATCATCCCCAGCCGGCCCAGCCAGGGACTCATCGGGCATTGTCAGAAACGGCATGGCGTTTTTTAGACAACTGGTTTGCGGTGTAAAACCCAAATTAGTCTCGGTTTGCAGATTTCTCAGCATCTGGTCGTAGAGTAAGAACGGGCCAACGTTTTCTCCCCCACCAAGAAAGGCTTCCGTTTTTCTACTTCATCCTCACGATGCTTGAGAATTGCGTCCTGCTTTCTCATTTCTGGTGGGTGGTGTTTAGGAGCTGGAGTCATTGCTGTTGGGGGCCTGGCGGCAATTTCCAGGGTTGGGGGGGTGACAATGGTCTGGAGCCCCACTGAGAGCCCCCAATATCCACCAGCGGGGCGATTTTCCTCCAGATCCCTTTGGTTTGGAGCGCATGAAGCAGATCCTCAGACGTTGGCAGGCCTCCCAAGAAAGGGCTGTGCAATGAAAGATCAACCCTTGAGGCTCTTTCTAAGTAAGTTCCAGGGAAATCTCCAATGGGGAAGTTGGAAGGAATCCCAGAGGTCCTCTAGCCCAACCCTCCGCTGTTTGCAGGACACTCAGTTCAGCCGTCTTTTGAGAGAGAGCGCCCACCTTCTCTTTCAAACCCTCCAGAGATTTGTCACCCCGCCACCTCCAACTCTCCTTCACGCAAGTGAACAACCGATCATCATCATCTTCATTTTGCTCCCCCCGCCCACCTTCTCGGCAGCGAGCCAGGGAAATGGGGATGCTGGCTAGCCAGTTAGCGCCTTGCCGTGAATCAGAGTTTGTCCTTCTCCCCAACACGGTTGGAAGCACTTCTCCAGGAGCGCTCTGGCGTTAGCCAAACATTTTAGAAATGAGGTCAAGAGAAGACAGGAGGGCTCGGCTTCCAAAGATAAACAGCTTCTTCGGCCTGCCTCCCAACCTTCGTCAGATCATGAATCCTGCAAGGCAGGCTGAATTCTGAAATGTGATTTCCGCTGCTTATTGCTCATTCCCTTAAGGGTGACCTGCCTCTCTGCAAAGTCGCCCACGTCGCCCACCCCCTCGCCAAGGCACAACTCTTCCTTTTTTGCAGCCCTGCAATCTCGCGACCCCCCCATGGAAAACAGCTGCTTCTTATAAAAAAGAAAAAAGGGCAGGATTGTGAAAGCATTTACGTAAGCCATTCCCTTCACAATTTTCCAGGAAAACTATTTGAACCCTTTCAACACCTAAAAAAGCCCAAAATTGAAATTTTGGGGAATCCCCAGATAGGAATTCCTGTTACACCACCGAGGATTTTTTTTTTTTTACATCAACAAAGGTAGGAAAATCTTGGTGGTGAGGTTTAAAATTTAAATTTAATAGTAGGGCTAGGTTTACATCACTGTTGCCCAAGAGTTAACACTGTTGAATTTTCCCTTTCAGATCATGTTTCTAGTCCTTATTGTCACAACGTAAGTTTCAAGGGATAAAGGACCCGGTTTCACTAATCTCATTAAGCCAAAGTATGGTTGATTTTCTAGCAGATGAAAGCCAAGTGTGGTTTAAGTAACTACAATGAAGCAAACTATGGCTTTGTATGACCCACAAAAGCTATTGGGGATGGATAAATCCCCCAGCTGAAAGCAATACCTCCACACCCACCTTATTGCAGGAATGAAGTTTTTTTTAACAGGGGCTTGATTGATTTGGAGTGTTTTTTTGGGGGGGGGTGTTTTATTTTCCTTTCGCGGCCCTCTGGAATAAGTAATCAAATTTGCAGGAGGAAGTGCCTTTTCTCTTTCAGCATCTAACCTTCTTTGCACTGCATCTCCCTGAGCACTGCAAACCTGGACGCAGATGTGCTAGCCTCCTTCTTTGCCCAAGATCCACAATTTTGCATCCCCACAACCGGGGTTCTCCATCTTAGCCTTTCCACAAAATGCCACGGGGCTGGAGCTGTGTGCTCAAGGCACAGAGCTTCAAGAAATGGTGTATTTCAGAGTAAGATGTGCAAAGCGAAGTCCCAACGGCTGCAAGGCTGGGGTGCCCCCCCCGCCTAGTTTCCCCCTGAAGGCTATTGTCAGGCTTGTACAACAAGCCTAGCTTCTGCTAACCAGGGTTTGCTGACAATCGGCTAGGTGGAATGTGCTAGGCACGAAGAAGAAGCAAATCACATCGTGGCTTAGCCTGAGGTGCGCGGGAAGTCGCTGGCTGACGACTGGCACCCCAAGTGTGTGTTTGTGTGTGTGTTGGGGGTATGATTCTGTGCATGCATCCACTTTAACCCCATCGAACCAAACCGAACTTTTGCAAACTTTCTTTGTACTCGGGGAACCCGGCTCTACAGAACTGAAAATTGCTACCTAGAGAAAAGGGGATCAGCTTCTGAGCTTAACGGCCTGGGGGATCCCCCGGTCTGGATTTAGTTATTTCAGTCTCAAATGCCAAATTGCCCATTTAGACAGGAGAATCCTGCTCAGCCCTCCTGAAATTGAAGGATGGACGAGTGTCTAAACCTACTGAAACTCTCTGCACAGCATGCCAAGGGGTTATGCAGCTCCCTTTCCATTTAATCCCCAAACCCAGTGTTTAAAAAAAGGTGATTCGGTTTCTCTTATGCGCCGGCCTTGCTAGAAAGGGGAAGGCTCTTTAACTCCTGCGATTCGGTCTCATCCAGCTTTGCTCGGTTTTGAATCATTACACGCATCAGTACCATTTTAGGAGGAAATATTACCGCCGAGAACTTTAACACGAGTTAAAGTTGAGCTGTATTCCTAAAAGATGAGATTTGGAGGCTCAAGTGAAGATTTTTGGTTCTCTTGAGGTTGCAAAGAGGGGAATTTAACGTAAAGGGAAAGAAACGTATCCTTTTAAGGAACGGATTCACGAGAGATGTCTGCTTTTTGGAAAACCTTTGGGTTTTAAACATGAGAAGATACAGGAATGTGTTTCTGTAGGGTCTGGTCTAATGTTAAATTTAAGGACTGCATTCATTTTAGATTGGATGTTACATGGATTTTTACTCCTTTTGGGGGCCCGTTACTTTAATCACCGTAATATGTCCCCTTGCTTTCCTGCACTGTATTTGCCCTATTTTTTTTCCTGTAGCTTTCTGCATAACATTTAAAAAAGTTTAAACAATCCTCATACTCAGTGGAAAAATATTGCCTTAATCTTCTCACTTCACTTTCTCACCCTGGCCACCAGTACTTAGTTCAAGAAAGAAAAATGCTCCTTGTTCATGTCCTAAGCTGCCCACCCACAAGGGCCAAAGATAACTGTTTCCGAAAACCGCTTCACCTTCTTATGGAAAGTGATGCAACCCAGGGGATCCACTTTTCTCCAGGCACCTGATCACTTCCCCTTGAATTGCATGCTACAAATTACACATCGCGCTGGGCTAAAAACAATCATGTTCTCCTGGAAAAAGAAAGCCACATTTAGGAACCCTCCTTTCACTCCACGTTCGAGAAAAATGTCGCTTCCTGCAGCCCGGGATGTGTGGCCGTCTTCCCGTGCCGGGGGAGATCCCAGCTTCCCCAGGAACTCTGCTGTGGATCATGGGGGATGGAATCTCAAGTCTCTGAGCAGCCAGCCAGCCAGCTATGGAACCGATGAAACCTGAACCGTCTCTTGCATATACTTCTTCGTTCTCCCCAAATGCACCCTCTAAACTCCAAAAACAGACAGGCGCTAACAAGAAAAGAGGCAGGAATGTTGCTGTTGTTGCCGTTGTGCAACCTGCGATGTTGTGACAGCAAACGCAACCAGGGTGTTCCTGCAGCCGGGAGTTGAGAAAGAACTCGTGGGGAGAGGAAACCTCCTTCCAGGGCCCCCGAACCGCGCAGTTTCAGCTTACCTTTTTCCGAAGCCTCACTTGCCCCGTAATAATGGCCACTGCGTACATTTTCAGGATCAGAAGGGTGGCGAAGAAAACGAAAGAGGCAAAGACTTCATTCTCCATCATTCTGGCACGCCGGAGACGGCTGTTTCTTTAAGAGGTCTGAGCTCTTGAGCATGATATAGTCTGGCAATAAAGAAAGGGGTGGATCTCTTTTCGGCCGATCAGCCCTCCTTTGCAAGGCACAGGCATTGCCACTTAATCCTAATCGAGCCACTTCGAGAGCGGGGTGATATAACACATGAAACCGTCGTGGCTTAGCTGTCGTTTTACGGGGCAGATGGCCTGGGTTGCGCGAGAGGCCGAGCCGAAAGCGACCCAGCTGCAGTAAAAGTGGGCTCGTGCTGGCTCACGAAACCGTGAGATGGTTTGTTTGGCTGAGCGAGCCCCCGTGGGGAGGAAACCAACAGCCAAACCATCAATTAGAGTTGATCATGGTTTTGTACAATACGCACGCCCGGAAAGGCTTGGCATCGTGCTAAACCAGGGCTTTGCTGAAGCGTGCTTCTTAATAGGTCAACGTGGCCTGCAATTTTGCCAAGCTGCCGCCTGGGAGTTTGCAAGACACGATGGCTGCATTCACACAACCTATTAATGCACAATGTGGGTATCCAGCTGTAGACTTCCATCATTTTGGGGTGGACGGACGAGCTTCCTGGACAACAGTTACTTTCCATTGAATTAGGGGACCTTCAAAGAGGCAGGAATAAGAAACTCAACTTAAACCTTCTCCATAATTCAGTTACCTGGAACCCCACGCCTTGTTCGATTCACACAACATGCCAAACCAGGTCAACACAGGCTGGAGGGGCTGCGGGTTGAGCTTGACTGGCTTAACCTTTGTTTGTTTATGTGGATTTTTTTTTTAATGTATAAGTTGACAACAGCCCTAGTCTAGGTTCTTTTATGATTCTATTTTATGGGCTGAATTCAAAGGGGCTAATCTCCTAATCAGGTTTTATGGGGAAACAGCCACTGTGCTTCTACAAGCTGTCCTTGGCAAACACCTTCTAGCTTATTGGAAGCTGCGTGCAGACACGGAGGAGGGTAATGAGAAAAAAATGCATGGTGCCATCTCCGTTCCTGGCTATCCAACCTTTCTTTGCTTGTTCAGACATGCCTTCGTACTCCCTTAATAAAAGCAACATCAGAAATCCCAGATTCAATTGTCTGCACGGCTGAAGAGCGCACGCACACCTTTTCCCATCAAAGTATCTTCTCTCTCTCTCGTTCTAGAAGTTCACTTGAAGGCCACAGGTTGCCAGCTCATACATATTGGCAGTCCTCATTAAAATTTGTCTAGACAATGGTTTGTAAGCGAACCGTGGAAGAATTCATGTAATGGAGCCTCTAGACTGGACTAACATTTTCTAGTTCCTGAGCTGTAGAATCAGTTGATGAGTTGGCCTAAGTTCCCACATGTCAAGAATCTGAAGGATCCTCCCAAACCTGACAACCAACATATCCCAATCTCACTTCCATTAAAATCCCTCACCCCACCGACACTTCCTTACCCCCCCTAGTGTCAAGGGGACGCCTCTGCTTGATCAAACTTGAGTAAGCTGATGGTTAGGGTCACTTTCAACCACAGCCGAGCCCCAATGGTGCACTCTTGGAGGGTTATAACACCCTAGTCAAGAGTTTCAACAGCACCTAATCCATTAAAAGCAGCGTACCACTGAGGCCCCATCAACATTGCTCTAAGCCACAGTTTGACGAAGATTGTGTTCATGCCAAAAAGCTCTTACTGCTTCCTGTTCTTCTCATGGTCCATCAAGTCAACCCTGACTCTTGCTGACTCCATGGACAAGTCCATGCAGTTTTCTTGGCAACATGAAAGTGGGTTGCTGGTCCCTTCTTCCAGGGCTGAGAGAGAGGGACTGGCCCAAAGTTATCCAGCTGGCTTTCATGCCTAAGGCAGGACTAGAACCTGGGTCTTCCCACTTCTAGTCCAGCACTTTCACCAGTAGACCACACTGGCTCTTTGACTAAAAGGGACTGGCTCAAAACCACCCCAGGAGTTTCAATAGCTGAAGGGGGATTAGAACCTGGGTCTCCCTGCTCCTAGTCTTGGCTTCACCACTTGGCTAAGAGGGAGGAAAAGGGCCCAGATCAGCCAAGTGACTTTTGTGCCTAAGGCAGAATTAGAACTTAGGTCTTCTGGTTTCTAATCTAGCACCTTTAACCATTACATCTATAAATCAACTATTGGTTTGTAAGAAAAGAGAACCATGAAAGACAACTGGATGTGACTCATTCAGGGAGTCAAATTCAGTGACCCAATGTGATTCTGGCACACCCCAAGGATAGCCACAGCACACCCAGCAAGACTGCCTCATCCCTTCTGTAGAACACTTCTGTAGCAAGTGAAAGCTCTAGCCAGACTGTGGGACTTGACGGGGTTCCAGAAGAAGCAAACACACCCCATTTTCTACTACTAGCCTCTTGATCAGGGCTACCAGGAACTACTTTTTCAACTAACAGGTTCTGTGGCCTAAACAGTTCGAAATAGAGTCGGGGGACATGCTAGTATGGACACCCAGGGACAGCATTTGAGATGAAGAGCCAGGTTGCCCAACCATAACCACAGAAGGTCCAAAGGAGGATCTAATTTCACCAGAAACCATTTAAAAGAATCTGAACTGGTAGCTCTCCATTCTGGCTTTGCTCTTTACATTCATCAACATCTGTAGCCAAGTCCTCAAGAACTAGAGTTGGGCAATCATCTAGGGTAAAAAGGAGACGCCTGAAAATTCCTGACCCATCATTGTGCTCAACACACTTAGCAAGCTCTGTGCAAGACATCTACAATGGAAATTCCAGGACTGTTTTAGCTAATATGCGTGCTACACGAAGGCCCATAACTCAAAGGACACATAACTTTGGGGTCTTCTCATGAGTGTCATCGAAACCTGCAAGGGTGTCAAACGAGGCTGCATACTGGCTTCCTTCCTGCACAACTTTAATATTAACACCATAGTGGGACAGCTTGACAAACTTTCACACCCTAAAACCTGTTGAGGGACACATCTTAACCCTCCTACCTGCAGATGAGGCAGTGAGACTCTCCTTAACCACCTGAAAACCAAACTCATGGCCTTCACCAAAAAGCCCGTTTATGGAATCTAGATGGCCACAAGATTGAGCAGGGTTCCTGCTTCCAATACTTTGGGTTGATCCTTCGGTCCACTGGCAGTTGGAAAGTTCATGGAGACTACATGGTTCACAGCACACAGCTGGCCCCTTTTCCAATGTTACCCTACTGGATCAGCTTATGCCAAACCTTCTTAAGAACCAAGACCCTAGTTGTGTCTCCAACACTACTCTGCAGCTGGAGGGAGGCCTGATGGAAAGGGAGGCTAGAGCAATGGGTCCTCGAGGCTGGACCCATGGACACAAGACTTCTGCAGCTTGCTTCTCCCCTCCTCCCCCAGCTGCTCTGGTTCTACTCCAGATATTGCAAACAGCTGCTGCTCTGCAGGGGAGAGAAGTAGACAGCAAGACTGGTGTCAGCGTCTTTGCTGTTTACCAACCCCCAAGCATGGGGGGCCAAGCTGGGGGACTTTGCCTCTTGGGAGGGCATGTCCTTGCTTTCCCAACCAACACTCATTCTCACATACACACAGACACATCTCTGCAGATCAGTGCCCTTCCCTTGCCTCCTTCCGGTATCTATGATCTGAGAAGAATCCACAGCCACCGATTGCAGAAAAGCCACCCCCTCTGGGAAGAGCCACCCTAAGAAAGGCAGGGGGGCACCAGCTGAACCTGCCAGGGATCCCTGGCAATGCCCTGTGGCCAGTGCTGACAAGGGGGCCGTCCCAGAAGAGGATTCCCAGTCCCATCTGTGAGCTTGCAAGCAGGAGCTCCTGGCCCCTGTCTGTAAGGAACAGCAGCTCCAAGATCCTGACCCACAGCTAGATCTTGATTGGGAATCAGGGTTGATTGGGAATCAGACCAGCCTTCTGCCACCCCCAGAAGTGGTTAGCAACTAATGCTTGCAGGAATCTCAACTGCCTCTCAGCAGCCGCTACCCAAAGATGCACTGCTTCTGTCCAGGGAGGATCAATGGTCCTTCTAAGCTGCCCCCAGCCCAGAATTGTCCAAGCCAACCTAACTGCTTCTCAGAAGACATTGTGACTTGTACATCTGCTCTGTGGCTTTGGGGGAACATCTGGGCACCCTCCCGATGTGTGGACTTTAATTTCCAGAATTCTCACCGGGATCAAATACCTGCGTAATTGTGGAAGCCGAAGTCCACACATCAGAAGGATATCCAGGTTGGAGAAGCCTTGCTGAAGGGTTTACCTGGCTTGTAAGAAACCCATCCAGGTGTTAAAGGAAACTTATTAAAGAGAATCTGTGAAGATGTTCCCATTTAAGATGGAACCCTTCCAATGAATCTGGACAGGGATGTTGGAGACAAAGCCACAATGGACAACCACAAGCTGTAAGTGGCAAGCCACAAGGGTTGAGCAGGAAAATCACTTTCTGGCCACGGTCACACAACACCCTACATCCTGGTTAATGAAGGCAACTGTGGGGTTCATCTAATACGCAGCACCTAGACCAATTGTAGAATTGCAGAGTTGGAAGAAGCCCCAAGGATCATCCACTTCAACCCTTTGCGATCTGCAGGAAAACCACAGAGAGAGGTGAGCGTTCAGCCTCTTCTGCAAAACTTCCAGAGATGGAAACCCACCATCTGTATAGCTAGATTGTTCCACTGTTGGACAGATCTCATTGTCAGAAACTTTCTCCTTATATTTACACCAAGTCTAGGCAGCTGCAACTTATCAATTGTTATTTTTGGTCCTGATTTCTGCGGCTCTGAAGAATAGCTCTTGACCATCTTCCCTTAAGTTCCTGAACGTAGCTGTCGTGTCTCTCCAAAGGCTTCTTTCCTCCAGATGGAAAATCTCCTTCAATCCAGTCTTGTAGGACAAGGCCTCAAATCCCTGCATTATCCTTGTTGCCCTCCTCTGAACCCGCTGTGTCATGTCATATTCTGGCTTAATGTGATGGCCTCTGAACTCAAACTACCCAGATCTGTGTTGTGTGAACCCAAGTTCTGTCTTAGCTTACTGAGTGAACCAGGTCTTCATATTAAGCCATATTAAGCCATCATGGTCTGTTCTGGCTTAGCATATTGGATGACCTCAGACAGTCTCCTGTGAACACAACTAGCACAGCAAGTTGTGTTAAGTTGCCCACTAAGGGTGCACCTTAAGTTTGCCTAACTCGCAAAGGCAAAGTTAACAAAATTCACTACTTCAGTAAGTGAAGCCATTGCAGGATTTAGCATGACCTCAGAAGTCACAGATCCGGCTGCAAACTTCCAG